TCCACCTCCCGGGTTCAAGTGATTCTCCTGCCTCAGCCTCCTGAGTAGCTGGGATTACAGGCATGTGCCACCACGCCTGGATAATTTTTGGACTTTAGTAGAGATGGGGTTTCACCATGTTGGCCAGGTGGGTCTTGAACTCCTGACCTCAAGTGATCCCCCTCTCTCAGCCTCCCGAAGTGCTGGGATTACAGGCGTGAGCCACCATGGCTGGCCCTTAAACCTATTAAACATTTTAATGTCTCTTTCCTCATGAGATTTTCTGACTGTTGGCCTTCCTCTATCTCAAACACCATCACTTGACCTGCAGTTCCAAATTGTTAACCATGTTACTACCACCGCTCTATATTAAGATCCTTTCTGGTCACTCCTCATTCTTTGCTCCTTTGAAGCTCCTTTTTCCTTTAATGAATTGCAGGTGGATTCCAAAAGGAGGCAATGACAGGTTTGTCATGGTTCCACATGATTTCTCTAAATATGTATATGATTTCACACACTTTTGCTGGCTGCAGATATAAGAATATAAAGCACAGGGCTAGACTCAGTGGCTCACATCTGTAATCCCAACACTTTGGAAGGCTGAGGTGGGTGGATCATCTGAGGTCAGGAGGTCGAGACTAGCCTGGCCAACATGGTGAAACCCCATCTCTAGTAAAATGCAAAATTAGCTGAGCATGTTGGTGGGTGCCTGTAATCCCACATACTCGGAAGGCTGAGGCAGGAGAATCATCTGAACCTGGGAGACGGAGGTTGCAATGAGCCGAGATTACACCATTGCACTCCAGCCTGGGCAACAGAGCGAGACTTTGTCTCAAAAAAAAGAAAAAAAAAAAAAGGAATATAAGGCATAGTTCTTAATTTGGAACATATAATCCAAATGACCACTTTATATTTGCACAGCTGTCTTTAACACTATCCTTTGACAACTTTTCCTAGGTATGGTTCTTTCATTCTGTCTTATATTTTCCGTAGCAATAGAAATCTTTAAGAAGCTATCCATCATGTATGACTTTAGGATTGGTAGAATAGAGTAGGACCAGTAACTTGCAGGCTATCTACCGCTAGTCAAATAATAGGAAACTAAACATAGCTGGGAAATTACCAGGACAATTACTTGGCAAGCATTTATTCATTTCATATACTGATTGCCTAATATATATGTTAGCACTATTCCAAACATTGGGGAAACCTTTATAAATAAAATACATTTTGTCCCTGAAGGTACTCACAATCTTCTCAGAGAGACAGATCCATAAACTACTATGATATGCAATGAAAGTGACTTAAAACAGTGCAAAATAAAGATGTTCAAGTATGGTGAGATCTCAGGGAAAGGAGCATTTCTGGTTAGAGAATTGGGGAAGGTTTCCCAAAGGAGATGAGTGTTGAGGCAAGCTTTAATGGATAAACGAATAGGCATTTATCAGATGAAGAAAAGTATGTAGAGTGAAGCAACTGCAATTATCTATTTCCTACTAAGGTTATAGATACGTCAAGTTTAAATAATTTTGGGGTTGAGAGAGCATCACTATTTTCAACCTTCTTGATCTTCATTTTTTAATGTGTAGTATTAATTCCTTTAAGTTTATAAAAACAGAACCTTTCTGGACTTAAATTTAATCAGCTTTTATTTTCTTTGTCTGCTTTTTAAATCAGGTGCCAAAGAGCAGAATCAAAGATGGGTCTCTCATGGGAAGGAGGGGAGAGAATATAGTCTCCCTTGTTGTTTTAGAATTATCCTTCTACAGGTCAGAGAGAAGTGATATGATATTTTAGAACCTGAAAGAAATGTGTTCTCTCCCCTACCATCTTTTTTAAAAGAAGTGTTTGCCTATAAAATATTTGCTTAATCAGATTTATCTGTTCCTTGGCTACTTTGACTTTATGCTTTTTGTCTTTTTTTTTATAGGGCTGCTTTGTTTTTAAGCCAAACTCCAAAAGGAGAAAGATCTCTGTGCCAATAGGTAAGATGTCCAAATATTAAATTTTTTATTCCCTACCTTCTTAAACTGTTAAGAACTAACCCTAATTGAATTTAGTAATTTTCTTGTCTGAGCTTGGCTTACTTGCCACGTTGGTGTGGCACTTATTTTCCAAGGCATTGGTCAAAAATATAAGAGGACACCCCACGGCTCTAATTGAAAAGGGAATCTAAATACAACCTCCAAAGGTAAGCTGGAAAGTAAATTTCCTTTAAAGGATATGCTGCCATTCTTTAAAAGAGATTGTCTTTTTGATTACTTCTCTGCCATTTTATTTTATTTCCAACTTTAGAAATGAAAGTAATTTTCTACTAGAGAAGCATTTTGACCCTTCATTAAGTAATCAAAACAATAAATACTGACTGGCAACCCAGATGCCTAACGATTGGGAAAATGTTATGTAGAAAACAAAATGATAGGCCAGGTGTGGTGGCTCACACCTGTAATACCAGCACTTTGGGACGTCAAGGTGGGCAGATCACCGGAGGTTAGGAGTTCAAAACCAGACTGGCCAACATGACGAAACCCTGTCTCTACTAAAAATAGAAAAATTAGCTGGGCGTGGTGGTGGGTGCCTGTAATCCCAGCTACTCGGGAGGCTGAGTTAGGTGAATTACTTGAACCCAGGAGGTGGAGGTTGCAGCAGTGAGCCGAGGTTGCGCCACTGCACTCCAGCCTGGGCAAAAGAGGGAAACTCCATCTCGAAAAAAAGAAAAAGAAAAGAAAATGATAATTGGTAGCATAGGAAAACCTAAGAAAGGAAATGATTATAAATTTGTATATATTTTCTAATGAAAATTGTATAAACATTATTTTTGTGATAACATAGTATTCATGGGGAGACTTGAATATGCTTAAAAATTTTGATGTGATATTCCATTTTATGAATGAATTTGGGAAAGAAAATTAAAGCAATCATCTGTATGGAACATATAGGAACTTAGGGCTTAGTGACTACATGTGTGTTAAGTAGAATATGACCTGTTCTAATTTAGGGATAAATGCTGTTCACATCAATACATGTTGAGAAAAAAACCCAAGGTCTTGGATCTCTTACAGTAATTCTACCTGCTGGAGCACAGGGTAATCGAATCACCTGGACTACAAGTAAAGGAATTTGGAGTGTGATCCTAAGCCTGACTAGCTCTATGGCTTTGGCCCTGTTGTTTAACCTTTCCCTAGGTCTCTTCATCTGTAAAATGAGAAACTATACTGGCTTATCACTAAGATTTCTCCCTATTCTCATTTCATGTCTCTAAAAGCTAACATGTAGAGCTTTCTAAGACTGTACATAAATACCATGTGAAGAAACTGTGTTATTGTGGATTGTTACCACCTTGGGCTTGTAGTTTGTGTTCCAAAACTCCTATCTCTTGCTAGCCTGAGGGAAGGGAAAGGCTGAGAATGAGTAGCAGAAGACTCTACTCTCAAAACGGCTGCATATTTTCAAGTGGCCCAAATTTGCTCTCTGTTAATCTTTACTTCCTTTCCACCAGTTTGCACCCTCTATCCTCTCTCGTAAGCCCAGGGGTCCCACACAGTTCTCAATCGTTCTTTATTACAACTAAAACAGATTTGTTAAATTATTGGATTTTAATCACTCATAGACACATATGATATTAAGGAAGTGGATTTTTATCACTCAGACACATACACCCTCACACACTCACATACTCATGCGAATAAGAGAGGAAAGACATTTCTTTGGTTTTGTTTATTTGTTTATTTTAGAGACAGGGTCTCAGTCTTATTACCCACACTTCAGTTCAGTGGCACAATCATAGTTCCTGCAGCCTTCAAAACCCCTGGGCTTAAATGCTTCTCCCACCTCAACCTACCAAGTACCTGGGACTGCAGGCATACACCATCATGCCTGGCTAATTATTTTTTAAAATTTTTGTAAAGACGGGGGCCTCACTTTGTTGCCCAGGTTGGTCTTGAACTCCTGGACTCAAGTGATCCTCCTGCTTCAGCCCTCAAAGTGCTGGGATTACAGGTGTGAGCCATCGTGCCCAGCCTAATTTGTTTGGTTGGTTTTTGGTTTTGGGGTTTTTTTTGAGGCAGAGTTTAGCTCTCTGATCTTGGTGTGATCTCAGCTCACTGTAACCCTGTCTCCCAGGTTCAAGTGATTCTTCTGCCTCAGTCTCCCGAGTAGCTGGGACTACAGGCATGCGCCACCATGCCTGGCTAATTTTTGTATTTTTTATAGAGAAGGGGTTTCACTATGTTGGCCAGGCTGGTCTCAAACTCCTGCCCTCATGATTTACCCACCTCGGCCTCCCAAAGTGCTGGGATTACAGGTGTGAGCCACCGTGCCCTGCTGTTTTTCTTTTTCTTTTTCTTTTTAAGGCAAAAACAACACAGGTTGTCTTAAAGTCCCAGTGGTTTCTTGGGATGAAGTAGGGGGAATTGACTGCAAAAAGGCAAGAGGGAACTTTCTGGAGTGATGGAAACTTTCTCTGTTGAGAGAGTGGTTATGTAAGTATATACTTGGGTCAAACTGTTAAAATGGTTGTGTTGAATTATTTGTAAATTATACCTCAATAAAATTAATAAAGATACTGTCTTCCCTTTTTTCATGTATATCCTGATATTTGTTTAGTGATCAAATTAACAAGACTTGACTTCTTCAATCAAATCCAGTATTACTGTCAGAAAGTACTTATTCCACTGGTTCTCAATCATAGCTGCACATTAGAATCATTTGGGGAACTTTGAAAAAGTCTTAATATTTATAGAATTGTAGATGCACATATAGTTGCATGGACTACTCTTTAACCGGCTAAGTACCCTTCCACCAGTTATCCCAGTGGTAGTATCTTACATAACTATAATACAGTGTTACAACTAAGAAACTGATATTAATGCAATCTATTGACCTTATTAAATTCCAACTTGTGGATCTTTTAAAAAATACAGGTTGAAAGTTTCTTATCCCAAAATCTTGGGACCAGAAGTGTCTTAGATGTTGGAATTTTTTCAGATTTTGAAATATATGCATGTATGTAATGAGATAATCTTGGGAATGAGACCCAAGTCTCAAAATTTATTCATGTTTCATATACACCTTAAACATATAGCCTGAAGCTAATTTTACATAATATTTTAAATAATTTTGTGCATGAAACAAAGCTTTGGCTGTTTTTTGAACCCGACCTGTCACTTGAGGTCAGATATGGAATTTTCCACTTCAGGCATCATGTTGGTGCTCAAAAAGTTTCAGATTTTACAGGATTTCAGATTTTTGGATTAGAGCTGCTTAACCTGTACCAATGCCCAGACCCTAACCCAGATGAATTGAATCAGAATCTCAAGAGTGGGGCCTAAGTGCTAGAATTTTTCAAAAGCTCCTCACGGGGTTATTGAGTATTTACATTCAATATTCAGCACTGTGAAAATTCATTCCAGTGGAAAAATTATGATATAGAGTTAAGCATACCCATGTACTAGTTTTGAATCGAAAAAAGAAAAAATGAACTATGCCATTGTTTGAGTAAAGAAATAAATGGATAACTTGAATATATAGAATAGGATTTTTTTAAAGTGATGACACACATACATATATTTAAAAAGGGATGTGATCTCGCTGTGTTGCCCAGGCTGGTTTTGAACTCCTGAGCTTAAGTGATCCTCCTACCTTTGCCTCCCAAAGTGCTGGGATTACAAGCATGAGCCACCATGCCTGGCCACAAATTTCTTTAATGTTGCAGATTGTTCAACTTAGTAGAAACAGGTTGGTGAAAATTCAAGACTTGTTCCCCCATTATCATTAGGGTCACATAGTGTGCAGTGACATCTAATATCATCAGCAATGTAATTATAACTAATAAATTGTTAAAATTTCTTGGGTGTTTACCATGTGCCAGACTGTTTTGTTTCATTTTTTGAGACAAGACCTCACTCTGTCACCCAGGCTGGAGTGCAGTGGCACATTCATAGTCCACTGCAACCTTAAGCTCCTGGGCTCAAGGGATCCTCCTGCCTTAGCCTCAGCTGGGACTACAGGCGCATGTCACCTTACCTGCTAATTTTTTTTTTTAAAGGCGAAATCTCACTTTGTTGCCCAGACTGGTCTCAAATCCTGAGCTCAAGCAGTCCACCTGCCTTGGCCTCCCAAATTGCTGGGATTACAGGCCCAGACTATTTTAATCATTTTATGTGTGTTAATTTGTTTAATCACCTCAGCAAACTATGAGGAATGGATTATTGTCATCATTGAAATGTATGAGGATACACAGAACTTTCTCAGTGTTATTATGTTAGTAAATGATAGAGCTGGGATTTGAACCCAACCTGTCTGATTCCAGAGCTCATGATTTATCTGTAACTTAATACTGCCTCTCATTTTGTGAGGTCAAGTTTCAACTTAGAACTTTTTGTATTGAATTTAAGCTATAACTTATTAGGACTGGTTTATAATTTTTAGTACTAGTAAATCTTATATGTATAATTATATAATTTGAACTTTGCTTTAGAAGTTTATTAGGCTTTTTTTTCTTTTTTTCATTATGTGGCTCTAAGACCAACAGATAGTGTTATAATATAAAAATATTTGAGGCATTGACCCTGATTGTAAGGCAGATGGAGCAGGAATGAGGGAAACATATCCAGACTTGAGCACTTGCCTTCACTGGCTTCAGTTGTTGAAACAGATTGCCTGAAGAAGTAGGAAGATGCTCTACATTTTGCCTACCATCTGTCCCGACTTAAGACACTTAGGCACGTAATTAAGACTGGTAACTCTCCCTCTCCTCAGTATTCTGTGGATGACTGCATATCTAGTAAAACAACTGGGTAGGAACTGGAGAGAGACTGGCAACAGCACTGGCACTGTAGGCGATATTCACACTGAAGTATAGCACCGTGAATGGGAGCCGAGGCAGGTGGAAACCTGGCAACAGTGAGAGTTTATATTCTTCAGTGTAGTTTTTAAATTTACCTACCTGATCTGTAAAAGACTGAGAGAAGTCATGGTATCAGGTTAAAGTATCCTACTGCTGTGTTTCCCAATTTCTAAGAGGGTTTTCATATGTATTTTGATGCAGCATTATTCTGCACATAAAAATCATGTCTTGATTTGCCACTTTCACATTATACTATGACTTTACCTGTTAATGTAAAGTGACTATTTTTGTTCTTTTTAAAGCTACCTTGTTATTCTGCTTTCTCTCTCTCTNTTTTTTTTTTTTGTTTTGAGATGGAGTCTCGCTCTGTCACCCAGGCTGGAGTGCAGTGGCATAATCTCAGCTCAATTGCAACCTCAGCCTCCCGAGTAGCTGGGACTTCAGCCACGTGCCACCACACCTGGCTAATTTTTACATTTTTAGTAGAGATGGGTTTCACCATGTTGGCCAGGTTGAACTACTGACCTCGTGATCCTCCCACCTTGGCCTCCCAAAGTGCTGGGATCACAGGCATGTGCCACTGTGCCCAGCCTGCTTTGTCTTATAATAATAGTAGTGTCATGCCTGGCCTGCTTTGTCTCTTAGTAATAGTGACTTATGGCTGGGTACGGTGGCTCACCCCTGTAATCCCAGCACTTTGGGAAGCCAGGGTGGGTGGATCACTTGAGGTCAGGAGTTCAAGACCAGCCTGGCCAACATGGTGAAACCCCATCTCTGCTAAAAAATACAAAAATTAGCCGGATGTGGTAGCAGGCACCTGTAATTCCAGCTACTCTGGAGGCCTGAGGCAGCAGAATCACTTCGACCTGGGAGGTGGAGGTTGCAGTGAGCCAAGATCAATAATGTGTCTCTTTGCTTTCTTTTTTGTTGGCATTTTAATTTTATAACTTTGTCTGCCACTTTACCATATGATGACCTCAGTGTATTCTAAGGCTTTTGATAAAATTAAAAATCAATAGTTGCTAAAAACTCTGAGTTAACTGATTAGAAGTTCCTTAACATGAAAGTGAATTTCTATTCCAAATTGTCAGTTAACATTAAAACTTCATGGTAGAATACTAGCAGCAGAAATTTAATATCATGAACACTCCAGTTGTTACAATAAAATACTTAACAGTAAACAACAAGAAATATGAGGGCAAGTAGAAAACTATAAGGAATCTAAAATATTTGATTAAGAGACCTGTGATACTAGGGTTGGGATTTTTTAACATATTAAAGATGTTATTTTTCCCCAAATCAATCTGTAAATCTGATTTTATCTAGTCAAATGCCAATAAAATTAGCTTTGAGCAAGTGACAGGATTACTATAAAATTAATTTGAAGAAATGGCTTAAATATTTTTGAAAAAGAATAACAATGTTTGGGGGCAGTGGGAAGAAGACCAGGCCAGGCACGGTGGCTCACGCCTGTAATCCCAGCAGTTTGGGAGGCCAAAACGGGCAGATCACTTGAGTTCAGAAGTTTGACACCAGCCTGGCCAACATGGTGAAACTCCATCTCTACTAAAAATACAAAATTAGCCAGGCATGGGGGCAGGCGCTTGTAGTCCCAGCTACTTGGGAGTCTGAGGCAGGAGAATCACTTGACCTTGGGAGGTGGAGATTGCAGTGAGCCAAGATTGTGCCCCTGCACTCCAGTCTGGGTGACAGAGTAAGACTCCATTTCAAAAAAAAAAAAAAAAATTCAACTTCTGTCACTTACTGTGTGACTTTGCACACAAGGTTTATAACTTACACTGTGTGAAAAAAGAAACTGACATTTCTTTCTGTTTTTAGAGGATTATTTTAACAAAGGGAAAAGTGAGTCTGAGGACAGTAAGCTTCGATTCGAAACTTATCAGTTGTTATGGCAGCAGATGAAATCTGAAAATGAGGTGAATACTTTTTTTAATAACTTTTCTGTAACATTGTAAGTCTCATTTTTGTTGCTTCTCATCTTCCTTTCCACCAGTTTACAAGAGAATTGATGAAATATAGGAAGTATTGGTCAAGCATAACCTGTGTATCCTTAAAAAAACAACCATAATCCAGCCTAGGTAACTTGGTGAAACCCTGTTTCTACAAAAACTACAAAAATTAACCAGGCATGGTGGTGTCCACCTGTAATTCCAGCTACTTAGGAGGCTGAGTTGGGAGGATCACTTGAACCTGGGTGGTAGAGGTTGCAGTGAGCCAAGATAGTACCACTGCACTCTAGCCTGGGTGACAGAGAGAGACCCTGTCTCAAAAACAAAAATGAACAAACACTCATATTTCTTGTGAATGGAATAGATGTTTATGATAGCCGTTAAGGCAAGGAGCTTTCAAATGGTGACACTCAAATTATCCATTCAGGTACACAACTATGAAATCAAGCTGTTTCTAAACTCCTTTACTTTCTCATCTTTATATTTCACCTCTGAAAAATTTCTTCACTGTAGCAAATTAGAAGTTCTAGGGGCAGCATTTTAGCCTGACAACTTATTTTCTTTGGCCAACACAGTGTTGTAGTTTTTGTTTTTAATTGCCTTTGGGAGGGTTATATACATTCCAGTTTATGACTGCCACCTACCTGTCCTTACTGATTTACACCTAGTGGTTTTGCTCATTCATGTATTCCATGTGATCCCTTCAAGGTATTTGAGTTTGTGGTTTCCTGTTTAGGCCCTCTTCATTTCTTAATCTGGATTGTCATAATATCTTCCTAACTGGCATTCCTGACACCACTAGCCAAATTAGAAAACACCCTCTGCAAGGCAAACGCAGCCCAATTCCAGGCAACCCCTCTAGCCCTGCTGCCAGATTAACCATTCTTAACCTTGATCTAATCATGTCTTTACTTCACATCCCTTCAGTGGTGCTCCCCAAAGGTTAAAATCCAAACCCTTTAATGTCATATCATAAATATGTGAGACATTAAATCATATATATTTATATATAAAACATATATGTACATGTATATGTGTGTGTGTGTACATATATATATACACCTTTTTAAAATTTTTATTTTTTTGCTCTGTCACCCAGGCTGGACTGCAGTGATATGACCATAGCTTACTGCAGCCTTGACCTCCCAGACTCTCAGCTTCCTGAGTAGCTGGGACCACAGACATGCACCACCACACCCAGCTAATTTGTTTTTTTATCTGGAAAGATGAGGTCTCGCTATGTTAACCAGGCTTGAGAGGGAATTTTTAATGGGGGAATCCAAAGCACTGATTTCTAGAGATTTAAGGAAAAAACATTTTTTAATTAGGTTCACCTTTTGATCATTTTACATTATTGAATTCATGACAATTTTCTTTCTAAAACCAGGAAAGACATCTGATTCATATTTCTAATAATAATTTTTGGTGTGTTCTTTGTAGCGACTACAAGAGGAATTAAATAAAAACTTGTTTGACAATCTAATTGAATTTCTGCAAAAATCTCATTCTGGATTCCAGAAGAATTCAAGAGACTTGGGCTGTCAAATAACACTTAGAGAAATTCCAACTGCTGCTCTTGTTCTTGGTATATATGCATATGTTTGTTCATGCATGCATCTCTGTGTATTTTGTGTTTAAAAAAAAAAATTTTTTTATTGTTGAGAATAGTGGAGAAGGACCTGTTTTGATGAACCCGTTTTGTCACTTTTATTTATACAGTTAAGCCAACTATATTTTACGTATTTTCAAAAACCAATAAAAATTGTTTATATCTTTACAGATAATCATATGTTTGTAAGTTAAAAGGAATTTATCTAGCTAATGTTCTCCCCAACTTTTGGTCAGAAGGGAAAATATATTTGTTTTACTCTTTGTACATATATTACAAGAGTATATGAGATTTGATAATAAAGAAACTACCAGTGTTAGTAGATTTAGTTTTCATACTTCTTTTAGTCATATCTTCAATGGAATTTCTCTATGACCTTAATTTTATTTTCCTGTGTATAGTTTTCCAGTCTTAGATTGTTTCAATATATTTATATTAATACCTACAAGTCAGCGTTTGGATGGTTGGATTGCATATAAATTGCTTTCAAATTGCAGGTTGTAAATGTCTTAGATACTTAAATATCCATCATTAATAGCTCATCTTTACTAAACATTTGGATTCCAGGACAATGGAAAAAATTTCTTTGGAATATTAGCAAATTTCCTTCATTCCCTTTGAAAGCAAAGTTGAATTTATTTGAGTTCCAAACATGCTCTTAATTTCACTTTCAGTTTATTCAAGATTTGTTACACTAGTTAGCTCTGAGATAAGAAATTAATTCTCAACTTCAATGTACCCACAAATAACCTCCAGGGATCTTATTAAAATGTAGATTTTGGCTAATGGGTCTGGGGCGAGGCCTGAAATTTTGCATTTCTGAAAGGGTACCAGCTGATGCCAATATTGCATCACACTAATAAGACTCAAGGGAATGATTTTTATGATGTTGTGGACCAGATTTACAATGCAATATCTAAAAACTCTTCCATTTGATGAAAAACTGAGGCCCAGTGATGACCCACTTGTACCAAGCTAATGGAAAGCATGTTTTAAAATCATTATCTGAGAAGAACATTTTTCTAGTTAAACACATTGTTGATGATCTTGTTTGCAATAGACAAGTTCATTGTTTTATAATATAAATATAATGAATATGTTATTAATAAATAGCTTATAGCCAGTCAGTGAAAGACAAGATAAACCAGCATTTTACTGAACTTCTAAATTTGTTCAGGAATGCCTTATAATCCTAGACCATAATGCATGCTAGGAATAGTTTTGATATTCTACATTTTCAATATCCATTTAAAAAATAGCCTTCTAATATTTTTAGGCTCTCATGGAAAAAAATGGCTTATTATTGCTGGTGTGGATGATTCTGAAATTTTTCTTTTTTTTTCCGAAGCAATGAAAGTTTTGCAGTTGCAACTCTTAAGCAGTTTGAAAGTGGCTGTTGCCGCTCTCTGCATAAGCACCAAATGACTGTCTGGAAATCACAGGTGGTTATGTTAGGGAAGATACCAGTTAACACAGTTTTTTTCCAAAGTAGTAGGAAACGTTTTACTCAAAAATTTGGTAACTGTATGCAGTACCTTGAAACTCTGATTTACAGAAATGAAAACCAGGGATTCCATAAATACCAAAAGAACCAATAGTTTTACTTTTTCAAAATTTTTATGAGACGGTCTTACCATGTTTGCCAGGCCGGCCCTGAACTCCTGCTTCAGGTGATCTTCTCAAAGTACCGGGATTATGGGTGTGAGCTGCTGCACCTGGCCAGTTTTAATTTCCTTAAAGAGCTCGTTATGAATTTTACAAAGCAACAAAATTACTTTTAAGATGTTTTCAAGGGTCAGCCGGGCATGGTGGCTCACACCTGTAATCCCAGCACATTGGGGCGCTGAGGTGGGCAGATCACTTGAGGTCGGGAGTTTGAGACTAGCCTGGCCAACATGGTGAAACCCTGTCTCTACTAAAAATACAAAAATTAGCCATGCCTGTAATTACAGCTACTCAGGAGACTGAGGCAGCAGAATCACTGAACTTGGGAGGTGAAGGATGCAGTGAGCTGAGATTGAGTTGCTGCTCTCCAGCCTGGACAACAGAGCAAGACTCCATCTCAAAAAAAAAAAAAGGTGTTTTCAACTGCACATCCCTGTAATTTGTTTGAAAGAAGAACTGTGCTAAATATCTTTCCTGACAAATATAGTGTATGCCTTTGGATAGCTATTGTTAAAGGATATCTCCTCATTTATGTAGTATATTTTCTTGGTTTCTGTTATTAATCATTTTTTAAAATGTTTTTACTTGTTAGTTTGCTTGATAAATAGGTTTTGTCATTGTTAAATTATTATTAGTAAAAATGGTGATGTAACATTGATGTATTATCCCATAGGTGTGAATGTCACAGATCATGATTTAACATTCAGAAGTCTAACAGAGGCCCTTCAGAATAATGTCACACCATATGTAGTCTCATTGCAAGCTAAAGATTGTCCAGGTAAAATATAAATGCCATAATAACCTTGGTGAGATGTTACAGACTTCTTTCATCCTTTTCTGTCTTTTTCAGGCTTTCTTTATCCCTTTTTATTTGTGGAAAGAACACTGTGCTGTTTTTGGCACACTGTGCTGTTTAGGGGCTCTTAGAGTAATTGTGACTGTAATAGAACTCTGCCTCCCTTTGCTGTCTTTATTCTTGACCCATTTCTGTCCTATCAGCTTAACTGCTGGTAGCAGTCCAGGTATTTTGCAAGATGCATTCTTTGACCCACTGAAATGTTTAATAAGTAGAAAGACTTAAGACAGAAAGCTGAGAATTGAGGAATGTGGAGCTCTTGTTCAGTTTAAAAGCGAGTAGACTTCATGGGCTCATGTTTCAGGCATAAATCATCTTATTGTCCCACTTTGAAAAGCCACCATGGTGAAAAATAGTCCATTGACAGACCTAATCCTAAGCATAGAAAGCCATGAAATCATAGAGTGTTCGCACTAGTATAGTAAAAAGCTCTTTTTTTTTTTTTTTTTTTTTTGAGACAGGGTCTCACTCTGTTGCCTAGGCTGAACTATAGTAGCACGATCATAGCTCAGTGCCACCTTGAACTCCTGGCCTCAAGCAATTCTCCCACCTCTGCCTCACCATAGCTAGGACTACCAGTGCATGCCACCATGCTCTCATGCTCAGCTACATTGTTTTTTTTTGTTTTGTTTTTTTGGTAGAGATTAGGTCTTGCTATGTTGTCCAGACTAGTCTTGAATTCCTGGGTTCAAATAAATCCTCCTACCTCAACTTCTCAAAGTGCTAGGATTACATCTTGAGCCACTATGCCTGGCCCTAATATAGTAAAATTTGTTTGGATTTAGAGTGATAAAAGAATTTTGTGGGCTTATATTGCTTTCACATTTATAAGCTAATTGAAATTAAATAAAAGTCCTTAAAGGCATCTTTAAAAATGGCTATGTGAAGGATTTATAATGACTAAAATAATTTGTATGACCTTTGATTTTTCTCAGGGACCTTGAAAATAGTTTATTGTCGAATGTAATTTAAATACATATTCCTAAGATTTATAGTTTGCATATCTACACATCTGCTTATGTGGTCTTTTTATTATAGATAATATATGTAAGTGGCCGGGAGTGGTGGCTCACGTCTGTAATCCCAGAACTTTGGGAGGCTGAGGCAGGTGGATCATTAGGTGAGGAGTTCGAGACCAGCCTGGCCAACGTGGTGAAACTCTGTCTCCACTAAAAAAATACAAAAATTAGCCAGGCATGGTGATATGGTGCCTGTAATCCCAGCTACTGGGGAGGCTGAAGCAGGAGAATTGCTTGAACCCAGGAGGTGGAGGTTGCAGTGAACTGAGATCCTGCCACTGTATTCCAGCCTGGGCAAAAGAGAAAGACTCCATCTCAAAAAAAAAAAAAGATAATATACATAGGCTTTGGTCTAGTCTTAGTCTGAATTAATGAAGCTACTAATGAGCATCAACTGTTAATATGTTAAATGTTATATTAGCTATATTGATGGTACATATAAAAAAGCACATTCTACTAAAAAAAAAAAGTAATATACTAAACAAGAAATTTCAAGAGCTTTAGTTTTCTTTTTAGAAGAGGCAGACATAAGCTTTCTTTTTATATTCCACAGATATAAAACATTTTTTGCAAAAGTTGGTCTCACAGTTGATGGACTGCTGTGTAGATATAAAATCCAAAGAGGAGGAAGGTGTTCAGGTGACCCAGAGAAAGAGACATTATTCAATGGATTCACTTTCCAGTTGGTATATGACTGTCACACAGGTAGATATAAACCGACAATTTTCTCCCAGGAAATTGACATATGATTGATGGGGCTTGGAATAATATTAGACGCAGTGCTGTTTTCATCTAACAAAGATATGCTTCTGCAACATTAGGTGTTAAGAGTAGCTATTTATTTTTTCTAATGCTACTCAAATTTTAAAATGTTCTTTTATTAGTATGCAGCCTAATTCCTGTTAAGTGCTTAGGTATTTATAAGGTAATTAACAATTTATGTTATTTGGGGAGAATATTCCCTAATGACAAAAACAGAGAGTCAGGAATTGCTTCTGTTGCAGGTTCCGTCTCTGTGACAGTAACTATAACTTTAATATATTATCTCTTAGGTTCTGCAATGTTTGCTTTGTTCAATTGAACCATGCTGCTAGTATCCACTGTCAATTTAGTTCAATGAAGAATAGTCATGTATTTTCTAAAATCTAATTTGTTTCATGTTTAGAGTTCTTAGGGAATCATTGCTCTTTAAAGTATGTTTGACAAACTGATAAATAAAAAGAAGTTCTATTCTACCATGACAGTCTGGTGAAAAAGAATAATCTAGGTTAACACTAGGTAACTGCAACATAAAACCATAGCCTTAGTTTATGGTGCTGTGTAGCCAGACAGTATGGGGAAAAAAATACTGTGGTTACATTTTCCAATTAACATTTTTGCTGAAATCATCATAAGGGAAGTTTCATTTTGCTTTATATAGGGACTGAACTATGTCTAATGCCTAATGCTTACCATAATACCAAAGGTTCTATATAGTTTAGTCCCTATATAAAGCAAAATTAAATTTTCTCTTCTTTCATGTTTTTTTCTGTCATTTCCTTAGCAGAAAATATAAATATTTCGAAGAGTTACAGATTTTACTGAATCTTTTTCTTCTTGGTTATTATTCCCATGTCAGACACAGAAAGATTCTAGTAACCTGAGTTTCTATTTATTATGTAGTAGAAATAAAATAAACAATGTTACTGTGAAATTTAAAGACAGATACATCAACATGTGGCATTATAACACTGTTTGAACGGTAAGGCTGACTTTTAACTCTTTCTTTCTGCAATGGCTTAAAAGAAGAGAGACCCAAAAATGCCAAGCAAAAAGAGGACCACTTCTAGCCAATGGCAGTCTCCTCCTGTTGTGGTTATCTTGAAGGATATGGAAAGCTTTACCACAAAAGTACTGCAAGACTTCGTAATTATCAGCAGGTAGATGGTGTATCGCTTGGCTTTTATGAAAAATTCCCTTCTTGGCCCGGCGCGGTGGCTCAAGCCTGTAATCCCAGCACTTTGGGAGGCCCAGGCGGGTGGATCACAAGGTCAAGATATCGAGACCATCCTGGTCAACATGGTGAAACCCCATCTCTACTAAAAATACAAAAAATTAGCTGGGCATGGTGGTGCATGCCTGTAATCCCAGCTACTCAGGAGGCTGAGGCAGGAGAATTGCCTGAACCCAGGAGGGGAGGTTGCGGTGAGCCGAGATTGCGCCATTGTACTCCAGCCTGGGTAACATGAGTGAAACTCCGTCTCAAAAAAAAAAAAAAAATTCCCTTCTTAAGAAAACATTACTTTTAACTTGAAAAGTATAATCTTCACTTTAATACCAACTGGATAGAAATCAAAGTGTTCAAAATTTTTATAATTGAATGTTCAAAGACCTCTTATCGGATTTTCCATTTGCTTTTTGATCCAAGAATGAGAATCAAAGGCACATTTAGCCAGTTTTAAATTAACATAGTAAGATAGTATTAAATATGGTTTATATTACCAAGGCTGACTGTCTCTTACTCATCCATTCAATAGTTAAACTACTCCAGGTTGAGTTGTTGTTGCTTTGTGTTTTTTTTGTTTTTTTGGGTTTTTTTGAGACAGAGTTTTGCTCTGTTGCCCAGGCTGCAGTGCAATGGTACGATCTCGGCTCACTGCAACCCCTGCCTCCTGGGTTCAAGGGATTATCCTGCCTCAGCCTCCCACGTAGCTGGGATTACAGGTGCCCACCACACACACACAGCTAATTTTTGTATTTTTAGTAGAAATGAGATTTCACCATGTTGGCCAGGCTGGTCTTGAACTCCTGACCTCAGGTGATCTGCCTGCCTCAGCCTCCCAAAGTGCTGGAATTACAGGCATGAGCCACCACGCTTGGCCGGGTTGAGATTTGTATTAGGTCTTATTTTCTGATAACTGTCCATCCTTAGATGTTCTGAATTGCATATAGCTTTACTAAGCAACAGTGTCTTCTAAATAACATTATCCTACATTTACATAACATTTATAGTGAGAAACTATTTTCATGATCACATTGGATCTTCAAAACAATCATGTGAGACTCAATGGAAATGAAGTCTTGTTTTAAAATCCAGTGACATGCATTTTCCATGGTGTATTTTTTGGCATAGAATTTGTCAACTTGCTTTAATAGTTATAGCTACATTTGCCTAAAGCTATGTATTGTGTTATAATTTACTAATATACTTTATTTTATTTTATTTTGGAGACAGAGTCTCGCTCTATCCCCCAAGGTGGAGTGCAGTGGTGCGATCTTGACTCACGGAAACCCCATGCCTCAACGTCCCAAGTAGCTGGGATTACAGGTGCCCACCACCACGCCCAGCTAATTTTTGTATTTTTAGTAGACGAGGTTTTGCCATATTGGCCAGGCTGGTCTCAAACTCCTGACGTCAGGTGATCTACCTTCCTCGGCCTCCCAAAGTGCGGAGATTATAGGCATGAGCCACCTGATCCGGCTAATTTACTAATATACTTTAAATTCCTACTTTGATAGTGTCTTCCCCTCCTCCCCCCAACCCATTGATTCTAAGAGTTCTAGATCCTAGGACTTTCTTTTCTTTTTTTATTGTGTCAGGGTCTGGCTCTGTCACCCAGGCTGGAGTGCAGTGGCACGATCTTGCCTCAATGTAGACTCCGCCTCCTGGGCTCAAGCAGTCCTCCCTTTTCAACTCCCCAAGTTGCTAGGACTACAGGCACATGCCACCACGCCTGGCTGATTTTTGTATTTTTTGTAGAGATGGGGTTTTGCCATGTTGCCCAGGCTGGTCTTGAATTCCTGGTCTCAAGTGTTCTGCCCACCTCAGTCTCCCAAAGTGCTGGGATTACAGGCATGAGCACACCCAGCCCAGATCCTAGGACTTTTCTTAATGCTAACATTGAACTGCTTAGTATGCTGTGAAAGTACACAGTACAAAATAATGACAGAAAAGCTGTACTTTTTTTGGAGCTTAGACTTAAGACTACCTTAGCCATCAAAAGTGAGAACTATAGGTAGGGTTCAAAAGTTTGAGTGAGAGATTAAATTGAATGCTATCTAACATCTCTTCTAACACTTAAGATTGTATAATCTTCAGCTGGGTGCGGTGGCTCATGCTGGTAATCCCAACACTTTGGGAGGCTGAGGTGAGTGGATTACCTGAGGTCAGGAGTTTGAGACCAACCTGAGCAATATGGTGAAACCCTGTCTCTACAAAAATTAGCCAGGTCTGGTGGCGTGCGCCTGTAGTCCAGCTACTGGAGAGGCTGAGGCAGGAGAATCGCTGGAACCCAGAAGGTGGAGGTTGCAGTGAGCCAAGATTGCACCACTGCACTACAGCCTAAGTGATAGAGTGAGACTCTGTCTCAAAAAAAAAAGATTGTATAATCTTCGGGAAACCTTTCTGGACCTCTCTGTTCTTTTTATAAAATGAGGGGCTCCATTAAGAGATTATTTCAGAGCTAGAATATCTGGGAAGTAAATATTTCTCTGTTTAATAGAAGAAAGTGAAGGACCTGGGAAATTTTTGTATTTGCAATGATAATCCTTAACGGATGTCTTATAAAGTAAGCATTAAAATAAAGTTTGTCTTTTATGAAATATGATGTATTGAAATATATTTGCTAAATACATTTCACTTTTGTGACTTTCTTTCAAAACTAGTCAACATCTGCATGAATTTCCACTAATACTCATTTTTGGAATTGCCACATCTCCTATTATCATCCATCGATTGCTTCCTCATGCAGTATCATCTCTGTTGTGCATAGAACTGTTCCAATCTTTGCCTTGCAAGGAGCACCTGACTACAGTACTCGATAAGGTAAAAAGAAGAAGTTTTACCAGTGAATACGATGAAAAGAAAACTGCCAATTATAGATTGTTAAGATAACTGTTAATAAGTCTCTACAACTCTCTGAGTACTATATTGAACGTCTTCCCTCACATACTTAATATTTTTACTTAATAATTTTTGTAGTGTTTTACAGTTTTACAGTGATTTTATATATTACCTCCAGATAAAATACAAGCTTTATGAAAAGAGTGATCGCATCTATCTATATGCTTATCTCTTTATATTTTTGCTCAGTAAAAAATTATAGGTTTTTAAAATAAACTTTTACAGAATTTGTAGACTTCCTAGTAACAATATATTTTTACTTTTACATTTTGGTTTTTTTAATTTTTATTTTTTTGAGAAGGAGTGTAGCTCTGTCACCTAGGCTGGAGTGCGGTGGGATGATCTTGGCCCACTACAACCTCTGCCTCCTGGGTTCAAGTGATTCTCCTACCTCAGTTTCTCGAGTACGTGGGATTACAAGTGGTGCGCCGCCACGCATGGCTAATTTGCACTTTTAGTAGACACAGGGTACCAACCATATTGGCCAGGCTGGTCTGGAACTCCTAATCTCAAGTGGTTACCCACCTTGGCCTCCCAAAGTGCTGGGATTATAGACATGAGCCACCACACCCAGCCTGACTCTTACATTTTGTATAAAATGATTTGAAGTTATTAGTGGACTGTTTCCTAACTGATTTGTCATGCTGCTCTTGACAACAAATAAATACTAACATGTTCCTAGACCTTAGCAACTAAAGTTAATTGACTATATTTCTACATAAATGCAAGTATGATTTTTTAATATTGATTGCATTAGTCTGTTCTCATGCTGCTGATAAAGACATACCTGAGACTGGGCAGTTTACAAAAGAAAGATGTTTAATGGACACATAGTTCCACTTGGCTCTGGAGGCCTCTCACAATCATGGTGGAAGGCAAGGAGGAACAAGTCACATCTTATGTGGATGGCAGCAGGCAAAGAGAGAGACCTTGTGCAGGGGAACTTTTCTTTATAAAACCATCAGATCTGATGAGACTTATTCACTGTCATGAGAACAGCATAGAAAAGACTTGCCCCCATGATTCAGTTACCTTCCACCAGGTCCCTCCCACAGCACTGGCAAATTCAAGATGAGATTTGGGTGGGGACACAACCAAACCATATCATTCTGCCTCTGGCCTCTCCCAAATCTCATGTCCTCTCCCAAATCTCATGTCCTCTCCCAAATCTCATGTCCTCACATTTCAAAACCAATCATGCCTTCCCAACTGTCCCCCAAAGTCTTAACTCATTTGAGCATTAACTCACATGTCTACAGTCCAAAGTCTCATCTGAGTCAAGGCAAGTCCCTTCTGCCTATGAACCTGTAAAAGTAAAAGCAAGTTAGATACTTCCTAGATACAATGGGGGTACAGGCATTGGGTAAATACAGCCATTCCAAATGGGAGAAATTGGCCTAAACAAAGGGCTACAGGCCCCATGCAAATCCAATATCCAGCGAGGCCGTCAAACCTTAAAGCTCCAAAATGATCTCCTTTGACTCCCATTTCTCACATCTTGCTGATGCAAGTGGTGAATTCCCACGGTCTTTGGCAACTTCACTCCTGTGGCTTTGAAGGTTACATACCCACTCCTGGCTGCCTTCACAGGCTGGTGTTGCACATGGTGCAAGATGTCAGTGGATCTACCATTCTGGGGTCTAGAGACTGGTGACCTTCTTCTCACAGCTCCACTAGGCAGTGCCCCAGCAGGGACTCTGTGTGGGGGCTCTGACCCCACATTTCCCTTTTGCACTGCCCTAGCAGAGGTTCTCCATGAGTACCCTGCCCCTACAGCAGACTTCTGCCTGGGCATCCAGGCATTTCTATACATCTTCTGAAATCTAGGCGGACCCAAACCCAATTCCTTTGTGCACTCACAGGCTCAACACAACGTGGAAGCTGCCAGGGCTTGGGGTGTGCACCCTCTGAAGCCATGGCCCAAGCTCTATGTTGGCCCCTTTCAGCCACAGCTGGAGTGGCTGGGACGCATGGCACCAAGTCCCTAGGCTGCACACAGCATAGGGACCCTGGACCTAGCTCATGAAACCACTTTTTCCTCCTAGGTATCCAGGCTTGTGATGGGAAGGGCTGTTATGAAGACCTCTAACATGCCCTGGAGATATTTTCCCCATTGTCTTGGGGATTAACATTTGTTTCCTTGTTAATTATGCAGATTTCTGCAGCTGGCTTGAATTTCTCCTCAGAAAATGGGATTTTCTTTCTATCTTATTGTCAGGCTGCAAATTTTCCAAACTTTTATGCCCTGCTTCCTGCATAAAACTGAATGCCCTTAACAGCACCCATGTCACCTCTTGAATGCTTTGCTGCTTAGAAATTTGTTCCACAAGATACCCAAAATCATCTTCCACAAGTTCAAAGTTCCACAGATCTCTAGGGCAGGAAGAAATGCTGTCAGTCTCTTTCCTAAAACATAGCAAGAGTCACCTTTGCTCCAGTTTCCAACAAGTTCGTCCTCTCCATCTGAGACCCCCTCAGCCTGGATTTCATTATCCGTATCATTATCAGCATCTTAGTCAAAGACATTCAACAAGTCTCTAGGGAGTTCTAAACTTCCCCACATTTTCTTGTCTTCTCTGAGCCCTCCAAACTGTTCCAACCTCTGTCTGTTATCCAGTTACAAAGTCACTTCCACATTTTGGGGTATCTTTTTAGCAGCACCCTACTCTACTGGTACCAGTTTACAGCATTAGTCTGTTCTCACACTGCAGATAAAGACATACCTAAGACTGGGCAATTTACAAAAGAAAGAGGTTTAATGGACTCACAGTTCCACATGACTGGGGAGGCCTCACAATCATAGTAGAAGGCAAGGAGAAGCAAGTCACATCTTACATGGATGGCAGCAGGCAAAGAGAGAGAGCTTGTGTAGGGGAACTTTTCTTTATAAAACCATTAGATTTCATAAGACTTATTCAGTATCATGAGAATAGCATGGGAAAGACTTGTCCCCATGATTCAATTACTTTACCTTCCACCAGGTCCCTCCCACAGCACTTGGGAATTCAAGATGAGATTTGGGTGGGGACACAGCCAAACAATGTCATTGACTTTCCCCAAATTGCTTCTAGACTCAACTCCTTTAAGATGTGCTTTATGCTGCTTACGTAAGGTAAACTAATAACAAGCTGCCCACAAATTTACTAGCCACTTATACACAGGGTTTATTTTTTTCCATATAAAAATATAAAGGTGATTTATTGACACTTTAAGGAAAATTTTTTCCAGCTACAATTTTTAAATTTGCTTGGCTAAGCTGGGTAGGGTGGCAAGCACCTATAATCCCTGCTACTTGGTAGGCTGAGGTGGGAGAATCACTTGAGCCCAGAAGTTCAAGGCTACAGTGAGCTATGATGCCACCGCTGCACTCCAGCCTGGGCAAAAGAGCAAGACCTTTCCTCTACCAAAAAAAAAAAAAAAAAAAAAAAAAAAAAGCAGAAACAGCTTGGTTATAGCCAAATTCAACTGGCCTTCTACAACTATGCTTCTGTTTAAGAAGCTTTGTGTGACTTTTCATTTTCAGATGTAAAACGTCACTACAGACCATTGAAAATTAGCCAAATAATACAAATTTAGCAATTGTATACTTTTTAAATAGACATCTGTGTTAATTTTGTATTTCTCATTCAATAATACATAAAATGTTACTCTTCATTACTCTGAATCAGTAGGAATGAAAAAAATCTCATCTGGTCGTAAGAATTGCCAAAGCCTGCAGCTTCTTCAGTGGTTTCTTGTGAGGGGAAAAAAAAGGATCATATAGTTAATAGGTGGTATTTTTAAAATTAGGAATTTGATGGAAGATGGTATAATCTTTGGTTCTGAGGATATAGTATAAATAGCTTCTTTTTGTTACTGTTGTATAAATTAACTTAAAATTTTTGTTGACATTTCAGCTTAAAAAACTAGCTACTATCTCAGCTTTCATTGTTAACTATGTCATAGTATCATTCTTTGCCTCATTATTAATACTTCATATTTATGAAGAGTGAAGACTAATAAGGAGTGTGCCCCTCTCCCGTTTAATCTCTTTCAGCTACTTCTTACAACTCAGTTTCCCTTTAAAATAAATGAAAAGGTATTACAGGTTCTGACCAACATCTTTTTGTATCATGATTTCTCAATTCAAAACTTTATAAAAGGACTTCAGGTAAGAACACACTAATGGGTTTGAAAATTCTAAGCTGATTCTAAATAATTTACGCATTATTTCAGACTGTGTAGTATGATAGGCATTTTAAATGGCAAAATCTAGAATAAGTAAATTCCAGTTATTTTATTCTAGATTCTACCACTCCTTTGTTACCTTGCAGCAAAATGTAGAGAATACATTCATTAGGATATTAATAATGGGAAAAGACCTCTCTATTTCAGCAATTCTTAACCATTTGGGGGGAGTAGGGACAAGG